CTACATCCAGCCCTCGAGAGTGGTCCGTATCCACGGTGTCGTGAGTGGTTTGTCGTAGTTTTCACGAGCTTTTTATCCCCTAATTTTTGTCATCCGGGGGATTGAAATACGTTATTTGTTTTGTCAGGAGTAGAATAAGATGGAAACTACTCAATTGTTAGTCTCGCGGTGCGGAATTTTTCCAGCAACTAGAGAGCTACAATTATATGTACGCGTTTTGGTCCACGAAATAAAGATTAAAGACCAAAACTAGTTGTCGTAGCCATAGATTAAACTATGAGTTTTCTCAGTCAGGCTTTGAAGGAATACGAGTTCATTGACCTGGGAGTAATCAACTAGGTGGGTTTACCTGCCTTTTATTTTAACTAGTGGATTTAGTTGGTGGGTACCAGACTTGGTGTTTTTATCCTGATGTGTATTATTTATTCATGATAGGACGTGAGCTGTTTTTTTGTTTCACTCGACTGTTGAGAACATAAATACATAGATGAGCTTGCAGAATTGGTAAATAGGGTAGAATAACCATATGCGACGTAGTTTCTATGTTATTAGTCGAATGTTTACTTCAGTATCAAAAAAATTATTTTGGTCCCCTGGATATCAGACTAACCAAAGTCACAGAATGACGGACTCAGCTACCGTAGGATATCTTAGATTCACCGTGCAGCACATTCTAAGTGCATGTATCTTCCAGTTTACATGGATAAAGGCAGTAGGCAGACGTAAACTAACAAGAGTTGGCAATAAAGTGCATCAGTTCAAGTTGTCATACTACAGGAGCATGCAGGAAGGTGGTCGAAAGTGTTATTAGAGTAGTTGTTTGTTACTTGTGATTCCTCGTTGCTACACAGAATCGAATTTTCGACCTCTGTAGGTGGATGGGCTCCTGTTCAGATGCCTCGATACTGCGAAACATTAATGACGTTGGACTCATCTTGGTGACTAGCAGTGGGATCCATGACGTGCGTGTCACCCTATTCGGAACTCTTGAGCTGTATGTACATGCGCCCCAGTAAGTTGTCTCCACTGAGACTTGAATCCGGCACTTATCACTTCAAGCGTTATCCACTGGAGCATGAGATCCACCTCTTTTGCAACTGGTGTTGTTTAGTACTTGTAATTTACCGTTGCTATTCAGGGTCGAATTACAGCCAGTGATATTAGTTGTATTTTAACCGTATATCAAGTTTACGTCTTCAAAAGTGCCTGTAAAAACTGAGTTTGCACAATAAGTGGTGTGTAAATCTATTGGTATCTCTCAAACTTGATATCCGTTAATCCTCGTTTAATAATGAAATATCATTGATGACGTAGTTTTTTCCTGTAGTTTTTCTCACAATTTCGCTTCTTATGGTTAGTAAGTGAACTGATATTTAACTGCTTTGCTCCCGTAATAAATGTTATTTTTTGTATGCTTCATATTGACCACAAAATAACTTGTTGGGCTGACTTATAACCGATATTGATGGAATTGAACATATGATCTAGTGTGGTATTAATGATAGGTAGTGGTTAGCAGTGGAATCCATGACGCCTGTTTCGTCCTGTTTGGGACTCGTCAACTGAACTCACCTGTCTCCCAATGAGTTATGTTGTTCCCACGAAGGTTTGAACCCATGACTGATCGCTTCAAAGATTAGGCCGCTGAGTGACGATAACCACTCCTTTTCCAGTTTGTATAGTATAGTTTAGATAGTACAACCCACTAGTCGAGGCCTAGATCTTTTGACCTCTAACATTTATTTGTATGTGACAAAAAGTATTTGAGTCAACTGTAGAGTTGATAAGGAACATAAAAGTTACTCATGACCCTTCACACTTTCATGTGCTCGCTTTTTCACTGCAAGAATAAAATCCACTCAGCTATCTTGTGCACATCTGTGCAGTAGGCAAAGCTAGTGATACTACTTGGCTGCTGAATCCTCGTTAGATGGGGTGGGGTTCGAACCCATGGCCTGTTAATTGTTAGTCATCTCCCTAAACCACTGAACCACAGCTTCACAAGTGTTTGAATAACTAAATAGCATTTTTCTAGATTAGCACTTATGAAAACAATTATTCAGTTTGAATTATAAGAACGAACTGAGCTATATGCATTCTTATCGTAGAAACAGCTTTCATGTAATGATGACACAAGCTTCAAAAATACTCGATCACCAGTCGTCAGAAGTCGGTAAAAATGGTTCCAAATACCGTTTTACTTAGTTTATCAGACGTACCACACAGTGAAGAAGTGTTATCTACTGAATTATTTTTGGGACACAATTTACTGTCCATAATTACGTTATCTTGCTGTGAATGGAAAATAAATTGTATCCGAAGCATAATCCAGCAGATAATATCTTTCACTATGTGATAAATTTAATAAATCAAGGAAAATGGAACTACGTTCTACTGCGGTGCCTAATCATCATCAAAATCAACAACGGGTTAGGCATTACTGGTCCTATGTTGATATTGATGATGTTGATGATGCATTACTGTGTAACGGTCCGAGTTGCCACACATCATATTAGTACATCAAGTAAAAACAGTGAAGTGGGAGGTGAGGAAAATAAAATTCAGTCAAGAGAAATACAAAGTACTAAAAGAGAGAAGGGAAAAATGAGAAAATGGTGAGATTCGGCATAGCGTCAAGATGAGTATACATCTGCGCCACTGATATCGGTTCTAAGCCATATCGTCTGGAGTCTCCCACCACTGGTTTCTATTGTCCCGCGGACCCCGACCGGCTAGTCTGCATCACCCTACATGGATCAAACCAACAGTCAAAGACTTCATACATTAGTGCCTTGTTTTAGTCTGGCCGCCTCAAGCCTTTTTCCAGCCTGAACCTATTTCGACCAACATTGTGCGACGAGGCAGACAGTGACTAGGCGTACCCAACACATGTCCAGTCATCTCAATCGACGAAGGTTCATAACTGCATCAACTGCATTATGTCTCCTCCCTAAAACTGTACTCCTGATTTCTGTTACTCACGGCGTGACACCACGAAACACGACCAATGTATGCTATGCAGGCAACGGTGGTCAAACACCTGGAGCCTTCTCATGTCTTCTATCTTTAATGTCCATGTTTGCCAACCATGCAGTAGAACAGAGCAAACTGCAGCACAAAACACTCGGTTTTTAATAGACAGTCGGATATCTCTCTGGCGCCACAGACGGCGTCAGTTGGCAAAAGCCATCCGGGCCGTCTGTATCCGGGCAGAGATTTCGTCGGCCACTGAACCTCCAGGCTTGATCCGAGTCCCTAGGTAAGTGGAGTGTTCAACGTACTTAACCACTTCATTCTCTCTTGTTAGCCGGGGCACGGTTGAAGACCAGTCCTGGAGCAAAAATTCTCATTTGCGTGGCACGAATCATTCTCAAATTGCCATTCAAGGTGTCCAGAAGATTCTGGGTCTTGTCAGTGTCTTCACTTACCTGGAAAATATCATCCGCGTATTCTAGGTCTACTTGAAATTTTCCTGTGATTAGGCCAATCCTTGTGTAGTCATGCTGAGTGGTGGACCTCCATAAAAACGTCCATGATAAAGTTGAATAAGAATAGAGTGTGAGCATCGTTGACGGACACCACTCGACGTACACAGCTCACTCGATATCTCACCATAGGCTCTTACACGCCCACAAGTGTTCGAGTAGAGAGCCTTCAATAAGGTGATGTACTTACTCGGCACACCTTTCAGTGAGAGACATTACCATAAGGGTGAATTTTGTGGATTCACTATATTGGCCAGGATGAGTTAAGTGGATGACCGCACTTGGGTCCTGTATGCGTTTCTCATAAACACAGCACACATCCATGGCCCGAGTTGCTAGAGTTTTGGCCAATCAAGCTTGTTGACCCATTTGATGGGGAGTGCGGACATTAAAGACTGCAATGTGTAATTTGGAGCGTGGTTTAAGGAGAAAGCTGCTTAGATAGAAGAAATTAAAGATGACGTACGATTGTTGACTGAGAGACGTGAAGGAAGATTGGAAGGTAATGATGAGAGAGGTGAATACCAGTCTAAGGAGACTTGAGTGCTGACAGAGTTGTGAGGGTGGTTCACACTTCTTGGGTGTCCACCAGTAGGAAGGCTAGGTGTTTTTGAGGAACATGGAAAAGAAGGGTCAGTGCGTGACCGCAGAGCGCAGGGGACATGTGTTAAAGGTCGGTCACGTATGATCTTTTTGATGCCACGACAATTAGACTGTATTATGCAAGATGTAGTCGGACGGTATGTCCTGTGGTTTTGGATCACCACTGACTGCTGATGACTAATTTACGCCACAATAATGCATCATCTCTTTGTTTAAGAACATATTAAAGGTAACTACTTTTTGTGTAACCACTATCCTACAGACCTTTCTGGTATGGTGGGACCTCGAGGGAACAAGCGTTCCACCAGCATAGCCCTCTGGGTCGTCGTGATACACAAGTTCGACCACCGCTTGAAGGTAGCAGCTATCGGTCGGGATCGCAGTGCCCGAGTTTTACTCCGATATTAATGGGATCGCTAATATGACGTGGAAAGTTTTACTATACTTTGCATTGAAGTGAAAAAAAATCTGAGAAGAACAGTCTCAGTATTATAGTATCAAGCCGAACATGCATCTGAATTTCACACGTTTCAATATTTAACAGTTTAAGCAGTTTGAATGTGGCTCACTGGTAAGAGTACAGCACTTTCAAGCTACTCGCGAGGCTCAGATCCTTCCCTATCTATATCGACCTGAGAAATTGAGCTGCATTATCAGCTTTCGCATAAACCTTTATCGTATAGACAAGTGTATAAATGTGCACAGGGATGAGTTGTAACACTATTTAACACTTGGGACCAGCTAAGCATTTTAATTAGTACCCATGTTTAATGCAATAAATAAGGTTAACCAGACAAGTCAGAGTTATGCGTAAAATAGTCTGATTTCACTGTCCAGCATTTTCTCATTTTGTTAGTTCTTTTGGTTTACCATCTTTTCTCTATGAGTGATATTTCACTTTTTTATGTACAGATGGCAAAGAAAAGCAATTTCAGCTATTCGCGAAACCGAAAGAAGTTGGGTAGAAAGGAAAAAGCTAAGTTGAAGATTAAGAAGTAAGAACAAATGCAAGCAGCGGATACGTTTTTGCCTTAAATCCGAATTCTTTATATTCTTGATATTATCTCCACTCTAACCAACTTTGACCAAAACACTATTCCATTGTGTTTGGCGTTACTTTTTCTTTGTCTCTGTTTGGTTATTGAATAGGTATAGATGGTTGAATATCTGCTAAACACTTCTCTAGTTTGTAACATCCTGTACGAAAATCATACTGCTTAAGGATCATTGAGGTTTCATTTGAACTTAAAATTAGGAAATAATTGTGAGCTGCATAAATCTGATAATGGCAAAACATTCCCTGAAAGTTTCACTTTGAACTAAGAAGTTGGGTAACTCAGTTCGAAGAGTCACAATCCTGTCAGCACTCAAATCCTCCCAGGTCGCTGTCCACCTTGCACACCCTTACCTTTTAATCTTCCTACACATCTCTTGATCAATAATCTTATATCGTCTTTAATTTCTTCCAACTCCCGACAATAATCTGAATCCAAAGAAGAACATCCATGGTCTCCTGAAACCGCGCTCCAAATTACACATTGGAGCTTTCAATGTTCGAAGGGCATAAACAAATACTTTGTTGCATTTTAGCAATCTTTAGTTATACTGTATTCTTCCAGTTCATATAGAAAAAATGAATCTGATAAATACGTAATAACTACTTTTGAAGATGAAGTGTGTGCTAATTGCAAGCACTTTTCTCAATGATTTCATTTTCATTTACGTACCTAAGTCAATGTAAACTTTGATATTGAGAGGATTCTTTAGAGATCTCTAGTTAGTTACTTTGTACTGGTTTAGTCGTACTATCAACACAACTATAATGCTTTAACCTATTGGGTGTTAATAAATTTCAGTCATTGACAGATTTTAAAGACCTTCAAAAAAGTTTTTTCTAATTCTTTAACGTCGAAAAAATTGTATTGCTGAAATTATCTTCTTGCAAAGATCTTTAATCCATGTAGATGTTTGGTTAACTACTGTCAGTTGATATGTTAAAAGTCTATTTGTTTATTGTGATATAGTGTTTACACTGAGCATCAAATCGTCATAAATTTTAGGTCCGGATAATTTAAACCTAAATATGTTGAGGTCGATTAGATACTCCATCTGACATCAGCAGTTCGATACAGACAGAGGCAAAATCAATGCAGAACCCCACAAACAAGTTCATTGATTCAAGTTGCAACACTTCAAAGTAGTATTCAAAGAACAAGTGGATAGAAAGACCAATATCAAAGTAGAAAAAGGTGTATGGGAGGAAGGGACTTTAAAAATTAAAGGCAGTCAAGACATTCAAGCTTTAAAAGACATCAAAAAGTGAATATATCTGCGCCATTGTCACTAATTTTCAGCCATTTCACCAAGAGTCCTCAGTCACTGCTTCCTATCTTCTCGGGTCATCCAGAGAAGTAGTCTTCCCTCTATACAGTTAATACTAACGGTCAGGAGACGGTTTGTTACACTTACTATTACTTGACTAAGCGTGTTCAACGTCCTTTATTGTATATGGATTATCACTATGTTAAGTAATCCATATTTAACTATTTATATTTCATACCAGTCCAGTTGTTGATTCAGCTTGGAAGCCTGGATTGTCTGTCAAATCAAATTTTACTCGTCTGGGTTTAGCCTATGATGCAAATGAAGTACTGGGAGTTCCTCATAGTCAGGTGATTTTTGTTATGAATAATCAACTAAAAATATTTTCCCTATACTACAGCATTTAACAGATGCATGCAGGGATAGTGATGCAGAAACAAGAGGCACAGTCACGTAAAAAGTCCACTGTTGTAAAAGGTACTGTTGATTGTCTATTCAACATTTCGTATTTTGTAACTGTAGTTTTGGAAGAATTGGCCAAACATAAAAAACAGAAACCTGTATTCGTCTCCGAGGATGATCAGCTATTTTGTATATATAATTTAGAAACGTATGTAGAGGATGATTATGCGGTAAGTTTCAATATGAATTGTAATTTTTTCTTTAATCTAAGTCGATGAGTAGAGATCCGAAGAATGTTTATCAGTTAACGCCAAGACAGATTGAACGTTTAATTAACAAGTTTAAACAAACCAATGGCTTTCGGAAGTATATTAATGATAAGAAATCAGGAGAACTTATTGTCAGTCATTTATTCGATGAGGAATTAATGTAAATTTATTGGTGTTGTAAAAAGATGTAAATAAATACCATATTTTCGATGCGTTAGCTTCCCATTACAACAGTTGGTACCTGACTGATAGCTGCTTCCTTGACGTAGTGGTTGGGCTTGCATATCACAATGACCCAGCGAGCTATGCTGGTGGACACTTGTCCCCTTGAGGTCCCACCATACCAGAAAGGTCTGTTGGACAGTGGTTAGACGAAAAAGAGTTGACGTTGTGGTGTAAATTGCTACACTATGATCGGGGTCTGAGGGTGAAGTCGTACTGCTGCTGGCTGGATGGGGTGTGACAGCAGTAAGGTGTTTCCCTTGGATGACCAGCAGTGGCATGCTGATGCTGCCTTCTTGGTGGGAAGAGGGATTAGGAGAGATTGGCTCCAAAAATAGCATATCCCTCCCTGTTCTGGTGTCTTCCGGTGCCGGGGGTAATATGCTTTTTATCTGGCGTTAGAACAACAATCCTGAGAAGGGTGTGTTTGACAGGCCTCAAGCAGATGTTCCATAGGCTCTGAGGTCTCATAAATCTTCTTCTCTTTCAGGTACTTTGCAGAAGCAACTCACATAGTGTGGGCAGCCGGGAAGTGTCGGCCTACCTCACGCTTACAACGGTTGGGAAACACGTTTTGAACAAATTCGTATGTTTAACTCATCGTTTGGCTTCACAATTAAATTTTTCATCTACTCAGCATGTACATTTGATACCATCAGGCCTTATAGAATTAGGGTACAAGTATATAAACATCTGGATTATAATATAATAGAATAGAATAAAGATGATCTTTACGTGATCCTGATATTGTGGGTGTGTACGGAATTTGTCGTCGTCTGTATGCGTAAAGGGAAAGAAACTATTGTCGCATGTCAATTAGATAAGAAATCGTTTGAATCCGTAGTAAATTACAAAGGAGGAAGGAAGAACAAGACTTGATGAGCGAAGGAATACCTTTTCATCGCTATTGTTACAAATAAGACCATACGGCTTGATAATGAAGTCATGGAAAAGAAATGTTTCTTTTTTGATGAAAAAATCTTATAATCAGAGAAACTAAGCAGCTTGAGACGTAGCCGAATTATATTACTGCAAATAAAGACGACAATTGCACTGATCCTATTCGATCGACGAAGAAACTACTGAAATCTTTTCTAGGTTGGTGAGAAAGGGATTAAATCGAAACAACTTTTAGACATGAATTTGGTCGGACAATTTTGGTTGTTAAGCCATCTGTTATGTTTAGTATGAACTTAAGGGGTTGATATTGGATGTGTATTATATTTATATGTTACAACGTGTTTGAAATAAAATTACTCCAACGTTTCGCACGGAAGTCCTTGTTTAGTACACTGAAGAAGCTCGGACCAGACTTCCGTGCTAAGCATTGGAAGCGTTTTATTTTAAACACGCTGTGAACTATACAAAATGCAGGGTATTCGGAACGCGTGGAGCAGAAATCTGAGTATGTTTGAGATGGGTTTCGCAGGGACCTGTCAAATGTGAGACGATGCTTCAGGAGTGGTTTGCAGCCACTCCTAGTTTATTGATAATGAAGCAGTGGTATCGGCTACTCCACTTTCTTAGGAAGTCGCACCAACCCGAACGGGCTGGTTGCTGATGAGATTTCAGCTTGGATACAGAAGGCCCGTTTGACAATTGCCAACTTGCGTCACCTGTGGCGCTGGCGAGATATCCGACTATCTATCAAAGGCGAGTATACTGCGCTGCAGTTCGTTCTGTCCTGTGATACGGCTGTGTTACATGACCTCTAAAAGTAGAAGATATGAAGTGATTTCAGAAGTTTGATCACAGGTATCTTCGTAGAAATTCTCACGCTTGGTGGAATCGCCGTTTGAGCAATATTAAGGTCAGGCGTAGGGTACTGTGTCAGATAGGCAAGTCGATTGATGAGGTTGTGAACCTAGGTCGACTGAGATGGCTTGGACATGTACCAACCCATGCCGAACCACCACCTACCTCGATATGGAATGCTAGAGAAAGTTGGATCAGGTTGGAAGAGAGTTCAGAGTGGCGAGACTAAGACGTGGCACCAGTCCATGAAGTCCCTGACTGTTGGTTTCAGCTGTATGTGGAGATGTAGACTGCTTTGTTGGGTCCACGAGACCTTAGCGATCAATGGTTGAGGTCTCTTGGTGACACGGCTAAAAGCCGGTCACAATGGTTCAGATGTTTTCACACTAACTGTTATCTTTAAATTGTTTATTCTCTCAGATAACTTTGTCTACTTTGATATTAGTCTTTTTCTGTCCACCTGTTTTTGTATACTACTGCGAAGTGTGGCAACTCAAATGGATGCGTTTGTGTGGGAGGCTGTACGTTGATTTTGTCGGACTATGTCAAATGTATCTCATCCTAACAACATTTTCAGCTTCCTGTCTGTAAGCGTCAGTCACATACTGACTAACGTTGAAACTGGAGACTGTCTTACATTTATTGAGATTTCTACTTATTGCAATAATGGCAACGAGAAAGATTTGAGCAATGCGTTGTTTCACATAATTTGCACTTTAATGCTTTGTATTCACAACAGTCCCTCTATATATGTTCCTTCAGTTATCACGACCACTTATTTCTTAATGTTGCGACCGTAGTTACGAGATATATATTGACTTTCCTCTTCTAAGCAAAAATCTTGTGGAGATTAAATGAAGGTTTGGATTACACTAATCTTGGTGACTAGCAGAGGAGTCCAGGACACACGTTTTGTTTGAACTAATTAGGGTATAATGTTTATTTCCCTGCCTATATTAAGCCTTGGGACCGCCTCAAATATCACTGCTGTCTCATCTGTTCAACAGTGTATCTTGTTCCTCACTTGGTTTGTAGTAAAATCAGAGACGGAATCAACGTATAGCCTTGAGTAGAAGTTCATCGATTCAAGTCGCAACACTTCACGGTAGAATGCAAAGAACAAGTGGACTGAAAAGGACTGACATCAAAGTGGACGATGGTTTATGGGGATAGCCGAAATTTGAAAATAAGTTATTGAATGTGCTGAGACTCTAGAAGACGTCAAAGAGTGAATACATCTGCCCTATTGTTACTGATTCTTAGCCATTTAATCATGTTCCTAACCTAATATGGATATATTTGTGGTGAATGTTTACTCACGGTGTGTAAACGTTCGTAACAAGCAAATTTATAAACAAATTGATTCTCTTCATAGTGCACAAATTTCTCATGGATATAATTAAGTTTCCAACTATTGGTTCATATGGTCTCAGTGATCCTAACTAGGCAGTCCACACCTCCCTACAGGGCTCAGGCCAGCAGCCAGAGACTTTATGCACTGGTTCCATGATTTGGTCTGGTCACTCTGAGCCTTCTTGCAACTCATTCCTACATCTGCTAGCATTGCGCGTTGAGGTAGGCGATGACTTGACATGCGTAACACATGTCCTAGCCATTTAAATCGATAGAGATTCATAACTTCATCTACTGACTTACCTGCCGTGTCTAGCATCTTTCGCCTAACTTTGACGTTTCTCGCACGATGATTTCATTATACGTCAGCAGTGCTATGAAGGAACCTGTGATCGAAGACCTGTAGTCTCTTCATATCTCCTGTTCCCCACGTCCACATCTCAGGCGCATAAAAGGACAGAGAAGACTGCAACGCAGTATACTCGCTCTTCAATAGTTAGTCGGATATCTCGTCATCTAGTACCAGAGATGACGCAGGTTGGCAGATGATAAGTAGATCGTCTGTATCCGAGCCGTGATCTCGCCATCAACCAATGCATTTGAGCCGATAGGAATCTCTAAGTAGATGAAGTGTTCCACGTATTCCACCATTTCACTCTCTATCACTCAGCTGAAAGTAGTTGCGAAACACACGCCAAACATACAAAAGTTTCTGCTCGAGGGGTTCAGAAGACCGCATTTTGTCAGCTTCTCCACCTAGCAGGAAAATATCCTCAGCCCGACCACTGCGTTAAGGGAATATTTATCTGTCGCGTTATAGTCGAAACGAAGTGAAACGCACTTACCTACCTTGTGCATATCTGTTCAGTAGGAAATGAGGCACACCTATTGTGTGAGGGCTAGGTGAAGCGGAGCTCCAACCCGTAACTCAATGGTTGGTAGTCATTTCCTTGAACTGCTGACTCACAGCTCCACTGCGTTATAGTCAAAACAATATCATAAAACTATAAATGGGTAATCATCTTGTTTTGTGAAAACACCAAACAGTTTACCAGGTAACTCATTTCGTAAGTCAGAATTTTACAAAATTCAAGTGTTGCATTTTTCTTAAGTAAAATACAATGCTCCTATTACTAACTTGATCGTTAATTTCGGTAGGTTAAGAAAGAAGGCAATTCATGATCTACTTTTCCTTTTTCTTCTTCTTAACCTTCCCAGCTTTCTTCGTACTCCTACCTATTTTCTTTACGCCCTTCTTTTTCCCTTTTTTCGCTTGAATTCCTCCCTTCAGAGTTTTTGCAGCTGGCTTCTTGTTTGATGGTACATATTCGACTCGTTTTCCAATACATTTTATCTGAAAACAGGTGTAGAACGTATGAAAAGTATAGTGACTTATGATGTTACCTCAACGTAGGTTTCTAAAGCGTAGTCTGAATAAATGTGATTTACTCTCTTTTCCATTATATATCGTCTAAAGATACTTTGCTTCTGTAATACCGGTAGCTTTTGATTATTGTATCGTATACCTTTTGTTTTACATTACCTGTTTATGGTCAGCATTCGTTTGCGACACAACCGTAGGTGATACTTTACTGAATACCAGCAGAGCCGCATAAAGTTTCACAGAAATTTGTCTTCTGAGGTCAATATAACCGTTGATGTCCATGACTATTTCATCAGCACTTTAACCTTGTGATAGATAAGGTCGCTGGGATGATTATCTATTTCTGACATTTAGGGATTGATATCACTAATATTATCGTTACTGTTAGCTCGCAGAGACCCTGCAAGACGTTCTTCCAAGCCTCAAGCAGCTTCCCTCACCACTTTTTTGGTGTCTTGCAATTGCATCCACTGCTCATCTACACATTCTGGAGGGTCGTTAGCTTGCCCCTAATCTAGGCCGGATTAATATTTAGCTTCAATGTTAGGCGCAACTAATTTGCTTGCATCGACTTGTTTAGGATGAAAATGTTGATGACCACCAAGACGCTAGATGGGGTTAGCAGACACTAGGACATGGTCAGAATCCAGACAAGTATTCCAATATCGAGCGGCAATCCTGTATGCACTCACACCATCGTAGCTGATTCCAATGTGACCTATTTGAGTTTAGGCTTAAGTGGCAGAGGGAGGGCGCCAAGGAGCACAACGGCGGTCGTTGTGCTGGAAGTGATGCTAGATATAAATAGGTTGTGGTTGAGCAGAGCTGCAGTAGAGGATCCCCATTGTCTGAACTGCGGCCAACTAGTCCTCATTTGCCATCTTAACGACTCTCTTCTGAGCTTAGACGCCCGACCTGGCCATCCAAGTCCCCGGCTAGCACTACGATATCTGTCGAGTGCACTTGGTTGTGGAGGTCACTTAGTTGGTGATAGAATTCATCCTTGGTTGAATCCGGGTTGCAATGCTTCAGAGCATAGGCAGAGATGACAGCTACTTCTTACTCGAAATGAACCTTCTAGCCTGATGGCACACAGATGACTGTTGATGGGGATGGAGTCGCGTAGTGCAGTTCCGGCTTGAGCGCTTAGTGCGACACAGACACCAGCTAGGCCAGTTGTCTATGCCACAGAGTTCCTGGATAAGCGCACATTAAACATGCTTTTCGGGGTAACAGGTGGGGAACTAATTCGAAGCACATCACTGGGATCTTGTTACGGGTCTCTGAGATGCAGCATACATCAACAGCGAGACTTTCCAGAGTCCTAACCAAACCTGTTTGTTGTCCGGTTTGTATCAAGGTGAGAAGGTTGAAGGTGGTGAGCTTAAACGGTATGGGTGGTTTCAGGATAGCTGTGTCAGATGTCGCACTGGAGGAATCTGTTTAGCGACTCAAAAGGTAAAGACAAACCAGAAGTCTAAACAGTGGAGAGCAGCTGAACGAAGTGAAGATAAAGACAAAAGCGAAAATGGTAATGATAAAAGAATACAGTCCATATGTAAAAATAACAAAAACAATCCAATAACAGTAAGTCGAGCGATTATTTATAGTGTTTGCGTTGCGGAAGGCTTGAATATTTCCAGAAAAGTTGTGTGGACGCTTCAAAATCTTCATTTTATATTGTAACTTCGTATTATATGTGTAGACTGAGATACTGCCTGGGCTCCCAGACCGAAGCAGGTGGTTGTGTTATGCACCCACTCCCCGAGCCTTTGACTTAAAGTCTAATTCACAAGCCAGTGGAGCTGCATCCCTATGGTTACTGGTAACCAAAATAGGTTCACGCCATTCATTCTTTATGGAACCTTGAGCTTGTGTGCATGATGTAGTGCCCAAAGAGCATCTCAATGACTCTGAGTGCATAGATGACACTGTGGAGTTTTGGCTGCTTGTTGTAGGCATTCTACTTTCAGCCACTGGGTCACAAGTTCAAATCCCGCAGAGCCTACCGTGGTTTGAGGAACTGGTTAGTATCATCACAATAGATGCGGCTCACTACCTACTGTATGAACGTGCTCTTTGTTGCTCATCGCACGTTGGCTTTTCACTTCAGAGGTGGTATGCTCCTATTAGGCTTGTATTCTGGCAAAATCTGGATTATTCTAACACTTAGAATAAATGTGGGTGGTTGATGTGTGTTTCGCACTTATTGAATTCATGTTGCTTACTTGGGATTTCGCATTGACCTTGATATGATGATGTTGGAAATCTTAGGATATACATAAGGCCTTGTTATTTGCGACTCAATGTCACCCTTTGTACCTGCAAGACATCTGATTACGTAGGAAGGGTTTGTTGCAATGTATTCTGTCATCCTAGTCAGCTGTGAGCCATGGTCATCGAATGGTGGATGACATGATTTAACTACTTAGTTTAGTCATAGATATTTGCACTGAATTGCTTACATATAACGGATTCATGGAATGTGTCATTCTGAGATAAGGCTAGGAGTGCTATATATGTGTGGTAAGACAGCCGGAGAGGTTGTGGACTTCCGTCGATTGAAGTACCATGGAAACGTTACACATTCTGACTCATCAACTTCGATGCGCAACGTTAGAAATCTAAGGGGAGTCAAATCAGGATGCGATAGCAACACACGAATTCGCTGACTCAGTCAGAGTCCTGTGAGTCACTATCGAATAAATGTGTGCTTCTGTGACTATAAGAATTGTTGACTGAACACTTTACGTTTTTTCTTCCATACCTCATTATCATAAGACATCTTTTTACTTCCTATTGATAGTTTGTTGATATTTGATGTATATGGAGCACTTGGGAAGGTACATTGAATTATAGGCTTGGGTACTTTCATTTCCACTATTTCATTCGCTTTCGTGTTCACTAATTGTGTACAATAACCACTGAATAATAATTACTTATTCTTTTGGCTTTCTGTTAATGAACTGCCAATGGAAATGTCAGTTATGTTGAGTTCATATATAGAGAAGTTTGACGTCTAAGTCATGTATCAAAGTAAATCAATTTTGAGTTGTTATTTTACACTTGACAGGTCAAGTAGAAATCCTTAAGATTCATAGATTTTTACCGCATACTAATTAATAATTCTAAATTAATCATAGTTTTCTTCGTCAGTACGTTTGTGATGACTTTCAGATTGTTAGCCACTTACTACTGAGAATCTTACTCGGTGGTTTAGGTTAGATATAATAGTAAACATTAAAAGCAGTTTTTATTTTTAAGAAGCATTCGAATTGTTTGTTGCAGGTAGCGAAGATGGTGGTTTATTGGTGATATACTAAGGTCACCTATCCACTCGAAATGCGTATTGTTCCCCCTCGAAAGCTGCATAACTGCGAAGGTAAAACGCTTTCATAGGGAAAGGATTACGTAGGTAGAAGTAATAATGAGTTCCTAGTTCAGATCAAAATATTTTATGATGAAGATATCTGGTGATATCTCGCTCATTTTTCACTTCCTTAGTTGAATTAAGTTCACGTCAGCTGAGAGAATGTGAAAGGGGAGCAAATCCAACGGATAAGCTTTGATAATACTGGCTGGCCTATCCACCGTTCATACTTTACGGTGGCCGTGGCATAAACTCACTGTCAACCTAATTTCAAAAACATTCGACCGTTGTGGTAAGACATTTACTTGTTTTCTGGATAAATTCAAGTTCTCCATTGTAACAGCACTACACCCAAGCTGTCATTCATTATAAAGAATGTCAGACTTGTGGAGTTTTGCATTAACCTGTATATAAAATCACAAAGGCATCAGCTCAACTTGGTTTCAATCGATTATTTTATTCAAGAAATGATGGATAATTTCGAAATGACTCATTATGACACAGAAATAAGTATCAGTCTTGCAGTCATCTTGGATACCAGGAGTGACCATACGATCATCAGATCTCTGTGTACATTTTGAATTTTTGTTACGTTTACCCCAGAGAACTCACAGAATGAGGGGTCCTACTAGAGGAGTTTCGAATATAAAGGAGAAAAGGTTTTAAATGGTTCTCCACGGTGGCTGTTGGAAAATAACTGGACTAATAATCCTATTTTCATGAAAGTGTCCCATACTTCCTTTTATTTGAAGTCAATTTCGTCTCACTTTATCTGAAATGATCCACGTAGCAAGTAACTAACTTCGAATATCATTCATACCCGGCAATCTTGAATTCACTACGTCTAATACGAAAGTGAGTTTAATGTATTATATCTCGGTTTCACATTTTTGGACCGTCCATACGATCTGTGTTTCAGTTTGTAGTTATAAAGATAGTAGGCCAGTTGATCCTCACAGAAGATATCTTTGTGAAGATCTGTTTTCTTTTTGAACGTGTTGACAGAAGGTGCTGATAATACTTGTTGAGGTAAGAAGTTCTAGTCGACCACAAGATGGGAGAAACTCAGGTTCACACTGAGTTTATTCAGTCACGGTTTTTGGATTTTGTGATGCTCTTGGGGGTAATTAGTCCTAGCAGGAGAGAAAATATAGCACATATCAATATCGAAGTCATTATTAAGAATATGGAATACCAGTATTAAACCACCCCGTTTTCAACGGTAAGATAGTGGGAATAAGTTAAGCCGATCTAGTCGTTCCTCACAAAGCAGATTCAAAATGCCTGCCACAAGCTTAACAGCTACCCTATGAACACGCTCGAGTACGTCAGCATCCTGCTTTGTGCATGGGCTGGCCACCTAAATGCAGTAAGCAGAATAGAGTATTCTGAACATATGGTTGTCGAAACTTTCGAAAGCTCTGTGGATGGACCATAATACACGGAAGCCCTTTGCTGCAGCTGCATTACGGTTAGCTGAGGTTTTCAAATCATGACTTATGATGACACCTAAGTATTTCAGTTCAAAGACTGGGAGTAGTGGTATGCCATCAAGGGAATACTGGAAACAATTGCTATGACCAATTTGCGTTATTGCACTTTTACTAGGGTTGGTTTCTAGGCGCCAACGTTTGAAACAGCCTACCAGTTTATCCAAATCCGCTTGAAGTGCATATCTCTCAGCATCACTACGTATGGCTCTCCAGAAGTTTACATCATTGGCGAATACTGCACCGAAGAGTTGAGCATTTGTGGCAATCCGTTGAGAGTAGGGGAACTAAGATTGTTCATTGAGGAAATCAGATTATCACAGGTTTCTACCCAGGCGGTATCCCATTAATCCTTTCTCTCTTTGCCTTCTGTCGTACAGAAAACCCCTAATTTAGGGTTGTGAAGCAGCTCCGGACCCGAAAAAAGAGAGCTCTCTTAGTAACTTCATACGCGACGCTTTATCGAATGCCTTACTGAAGTCTATGAACACGGCATCTGTTGGCACCTTGCAACTGCAAACTACAACCCATTCTTCTCCCTCCATGAGGAGTGTCCAATACGAAGACTGTGTTGATGTGATGTCGAAAGACTATTTGACTTGACATATTTAAGTATCTTATCACGAACTGTTTTTCTAAAACCTAAATAACTATGCTGGTTAGACTCACAGGGCAACAATTAACCACCAGCTGGTGACTATCAGCCTTTAGAACTGGGCTGGACATGGCATTTTTTCAGGCTTTCGGTAGGCGAGTCTGAGATAGGGAGATATTGAGATCAGTAACTGGCTCAGCAACAATGTCCGATAGCAAATATAGCAGTCTGGGCGTGACTCGCTGGGACCCGGAAATTTTCCAGGCTTAAGATTAATGACCAACTACAAGACTGTTTCCTTTGTTATGAACACTGTACCCATTGTTGGGGTTGCGCTTATACCACTATTGAGCACTTCGTCATCATGATCTATAGGGAAGACTTCACTAAAGTAATCTGATGGACATTCGACTTTGCAGTGAGTTCGGATGTTCATGAAAAATAAGCTGCAGCTGACTGGGATCAAACAAGTAGCTAGCCCTTATTATTTTAAATGTTTCCACTGAATTGTAGGAAACGGAACAACTCTAGAATTTCATTTTTATGAAATGTAAAATTTTGCGTTGACGCAGTGAATGACTTCAGCTTGTTAAAAATGAAGCCAGAAGAATAATTATATCTCGGTTTAGGATTGAATTGTTTGAAACAGTGGTTTGTGAATGTCAACTTTCTGAATTTGTTTCCGAATTCGGCAACATAAAGTCCAAATTTAAAATTGGACTTCGTATCTGTACATAGGTTCCCTTATCCTGTAAAGACTGTTACTTCTTAAATATTGGACCAAAGTACGTCATAGTTAAAAACGGGTATGTGTGTTTTCATTACCTGATTGCATATGAAACAATGGTCTTCGGCTTTCATTCTCCCCTGAAAATCTCCAACAAGACAAGTTTTACAAAATCTTGTCCCACACCATTTGCACATGTACGTCTTAATTAGTGGCTTTCAGTATATAAGGTAAAGATACTGTATCGTTTGCCTGACATCCCTATCTGCACATTTTGCAGCCTGTTTAAAATACCGCAGTTGGTGTCGTAGCACCAACAAGGTTGAACTTGTGGGAGGTAGTCGTTATGAAACACAAAAACAAGGGTGCGACCTTTGTTTGTTCCTTACATTTGCTCTAATCGGGGTACTTTTCGATAAAAGTTAGGTAGGAACTTTAACTGGGTGAATTTCTCTAGTTTCTGAAACAAGAGTGTCGTATTAATGCTGGCGGTAGGACCGGGTGCCATTTCACAGTGGCCCCTGGCATGCAGTAAAGCGAATGAAAGATTTAGTTCTACGATGACTGCACAAGCCTCATGCCCTCAGCATATAAGAGGCACAGTAAAGCAAAAGTGTCTTGCTTTGGGTGTTGTGCTGCTCAGATATTCGCACTCTGGTAGAAGAGGCAGAAGCACTTCTAAATACAACGACGAAGAAGCTAGCGTTCAGAGGGAAAGTCGATAACTGTGATAGTGATATCAGCAGAGCACCCGCTGATACGGATAGCTATTCAAATTTTTGAGTAAGTTCCACGACAAGCTGCAAGTCGGGTGTGTAGACTACCCAATAGGTTGCTGGTAGCGACTTGGAAAAAAGCTATACCAAGCAGTGTGAAGCAGGTATCTTGTGGTTCTCGTATCCCAAGGACTGACAGAACTAGTCTAATAAATACCAACCGTAGGACTAGGTCTACATCCGATGAAAGAAACAGGAGTGAAGCCCTCGCAGTGCCAAGCACAGAACTATGCAGGTCGACCCAACCAGTGACGAATACTAAACAGTTTGGGATGCAAGTCCATTCTGGGGCTGTCAACGTGAAGATCGTTGGGCTAGGCTTCAGTAAGCCTTGCATACCTGGCTGTGAGAAATGGCCAACCAACAAGTCTAAACAGCATGCCAAGAAGCAGGTAACGGTCATCGAAACAGCCATTATTGCACAGAGCAAAGACAAAGTAGAGATCCTTGGCAGGTGTGTAATCTTCTACACAGTCGAGGAAAGTAGAGGCTCAGAACCACGTAGACGTTTCAATCGTGACCTTGGCAAAGTGTGGAGTTTGATAAACTAGCTTTTACCAGAAAATGTGCCAGGGGCCACCCCACCAAGATATATGGAGTAGGAAGACAGGAGGCAGTCATCACTGAAAATAAGTCTTGGCTACTAAAGTCATGTTGAAGTCAGCAGATGAGGGGAATCGGATCCTAAAGAATGCCTAAATATTTCAAGGATCCAGAGTGTTTATGCGAAAGGATCCGGTTCTTGCTGATCGAATAAAAAAAGAGAAGCAGAAGCAGTTCTAAAATCCAGATTACCTGCTGGAGAGTAATTCATAAACGTGGTGGGGTTCCATGTGATGTAATTTCGGCAACAAATGATGCCAAAGCCCCTACAGATAGGACGGAAACTCATTTTAGTAGTTTTATCGTCCTGCACACAAATGCACGTAGTCTCAAACAAGTGGACCGAGCTTAGTAATGTGTAGCACACTTACGAGGATTTGTCCCTTTTAGAAGTGGCAGGTTAGCACGCAGAGGCGATGGTGTCATCCTTTACGTTGAGAACACCCTTGCTGTAAAAGCCACAGAAGCAGTTGCGTGTGAGAGTGAGACATGTGAAATGTGCTTCTGATCAAAATGCAAGGGGTAGGTGTTTGACGTAATCGTAATATATCGAAGCCCTGAATGTAAGGCAGCAGACTTCCTACTGAATATGGTGGCCCTCTGGATAGATAAATGCCGATGTCTAGTTGTAGGAGACTTCAACACACCACCAGTTGACTGGGATAGACTAAAAACAGAAGCATCACGCAACTCGTCTGGAAACGCCATTTTCTTAGCCCACATACAGCACATTAGGACACCAACCAGATATAATCATCAGCATGCTCCATCAGTTCTAGATTTAGTATTCTCATACACAGATGATGTGTGCTTCATCCAGCACCTCCCACCCCTTGTAAAAGTGACCGCGCTCTGATCATCTTCAGAGTCGCAGTACCCATCTTGTACCAGGCCGGTGCCCCAGCTAGACCCAATGTATAGAAAGCGAACATGGAGGCTATTAACCTGGGACCCTCTTCGGAAGACTAGACTGCCAATCTAGAAGCCTCAGTTGGAGCTGCATGAGGCTGTCTGAAACAGTTATATGCACGAGTGACTCAACAGTTCATTCAAAGGAACGTAAGCATTGCTCTCCATGAATAAACCACGAAATCCGAGTCTTGCTAAGAAGTAAGAAAAAGTGTTGGGGCCTTGCACCCACCTCAGTACTTCCGAAGTGATGCGTTACAAAGAAGCCGGAAATAAGTGTATCACTGCTATCCGGCAGTCTTGAATATGCTTTGAAACATGTCTTGCCCAGGCTGCACTGCAACATCCAAAGAAGTCACTTTCTTATATGACTTACGGAAACAAGATATGTCGTGGTTAATACCCACCCTAACCAATGGGACAGAAACTGACTGTTTGATTGAGGACAGTAAGGAAAAAGCAGAAGCCATGGCCAGTTATTTTGTTGGGGTCTTCACACAGGAATCTTCTATTGACACCTGTCAAACAGTAGAAGCAGTGGCGTCCAACAAAATGAACTCTGTGGACATCGGTCACAATGATGTTTTCGGATATTGAGTAATCTCGACGTGGAAAAGTCAGCGGGACCAGATGAGTCTCACCCAAGGCTGCTCAGACAGCTTGCACTCTATGTAGCCGGTACATTGGCCACTATATTTAGACTGTCTCTCAGTGAAGCCACACTCCCATATGACTGGAAGGATGCCGTAGTAACACCTATCCACAAGGCAGGTTCTATGAAGCTCCCATCAAATTACAGACCAATAAGTTTGACTAGTACTGTGGTAAAAATCCTGGAAGAAGTGATCAAGAAATCCATCACAGTCCACCTAGAGAGCAACACTCTATCGTCTCTTTCAAAGTACGGTTTTCGTAGAAATTTCTCCTGCTTGGCGGACCTTCTTGCAGTTAAAGAAGGTTGGGTTACATCTAAATATGCTAGAATACCTGTAGGTGCCATTTTCATAGACTCCAGTGAGGCGCTCGGTAGTGTACCTCATTCCAGATTGCTTGGGAAACTGGAAAGTCTTGGAGTCACTGGCAGTCTGCTCGCATGGATAACAGACTCTCTTGTTGGTAGGAGATAAAGAGTAAGTACCAATTCTTAGCTCTCTGCTTGGAAGTCGGTAGACAGTGGAATGCTGCAAGGCCCAATCCAGGGTCCTCTGCTGCTTCTCCGATGCGTAAATAAGCTGCCAAATATCACGAAATCCTATATGGTCGTCTGCGCTGATGATGTAAACATCTAGCAGGAAGTTAGGAACAATGAGGATATACTTTCGCTTCAAGCAGACCTGAACAGCTTGTTTACCTGGTCAAAGAAGTGGCTGATGCCTATCGGTGCAGGTAAATGTGTGGGCATGCACTTGGGGCACACACAGTAACACCTACGATATTGATGGGACATTTTTTACCGTCTTACTGACTCACAGTGATCCAGAAGTCGCAGTGAGCTGTGACTTGAAAGCCACTGCTCACTGCTGATTGGTAGTGGCTCGAAGTTCTAGGATCCTCTGGGCATTATGTAGAACGTTTACGAAAATAAGTGGTGACATGTTCACCATCTTATGCACATCCTTAGTGAGGTCTAAATTAGAAAACTGTACATAGGCGGCTAATCCTTGTCTGAAAGTAACTCAGACCTTCTGGAAAGAGTTTAGAGAACAGCCACCCGTATGACCTCTGCAATGGCTGGCTTTACCTGTGAATACCGACTTAAGGAACTGAACCTCTTCACTTTGTCCTGTCGCAGAGAGATGGGAGACGTAATTGTGCTATACAGAATTCTATGAAGTGAATTCGGACATGATCTGTCTTCTCTTTTCTTTCCCACTAGGTTGGAACACCCCAGAGGACATAGTAAGAGACTACATAAACAAACAAAGTCTCCACAGAGTACTGGTTCTTTTGTCGAGTGACAAACGCCTGGAACCGACTTCCAGAAGAAGTGATGTCCGCATCATCAATTGGCTTGTTCAAAAGGGGATTAGACAAGTGCAGAAATCTACTGGAAGAGGGTCAGTATAGGCTCCTAGCCTCCTATCCTCAAACAACAAATCTTAAACCTGAAGAAATGGCCACGCGATCCTGGCAACAGTTAGTCTACTAAAATCTAGTGTTCACTTATATTCGATTGGGATCTAGATGTCATTTACCCTCTGTATAAGAGGATATAAGGATTAAGTTGTTGCATAAGACGAAACTGCTTCAGACGTTGTACTCGTTCTTTGGAGAATGTTACGCCAGGCTTCGAAATCACCTTACTTCATAAACTGCTTCGAAGAAAAATACTTTGCAGCTCTACATACCTTTATACGTACATGGCATACCTAACTATCCTATTCTTGATCTTTACTATTTAGACCTTATAAAATAGCTGAAGAATTTGAGTGGGAAGCGCCACTTCAGCATTCGAAATCGGTAGTGCATGCGGAGGAAACTTGTTTCTGACCCCTAGCGTCTAGTTCTTGAGGCCGGATTATGGTTCTTCAGTTGCCGAAGTCTTTCAAGCTTACCTGCTTACAGCTTTGGAGGTAGTGACTATCTATCTGATGCTTTTCGTTTGCAAATTGTAAGCCGGTTTGTTTGGGGGAGCAACAGGGCTGCTGATCAGACCAATTAACCGTTTTCAATTTCTATCTTCATAAATATCTGCGAGTTAGTGCCGGTCAAGTATCATTTGTAAAGTAGTGAGAAAGATAAGGCGAGTAGAGAATAAGAAAAGAGGAGTGAGAAGCGCCTATGTAGAATAAGATTTACTGGGGATAAAGTGGAAAGGGGATAGTTCATGGTGTAAAACCTGGGAC